TTCTGCTAAAATTGTATAGTTGGAATACATTTCAAGCTTGTCATGTAAACATATTTATTAATTTTGCGTATTGAAATACATTATTTGCCAAATAATTTCACATTCTAATGGACATGGTACTAAATAAATTATAATTCAATATATTAACAATAATATAATACAGGGTCATCAACTTAAAATGTTAAATACAATTTCCAAAAAAAAATCAACATTAACAATTAGAAAAAAAAACAAAAATTTTTTAAATATATTTTTTAAATTGACAGACATCGCATAGTTCGATATTATACAGGCTGTTACAAATTCGCTTCTCACTACAGGGATCTCGGAAACGGTAAGAGATATGAAGTAGCTTAAATAGAGGCAAAGTTGCGTAATCAGGGGACCAACATTATGCCTCTAAAAAATCAAGGCTAATATGATTAATTTTCGAAATATTTGAAAAAAAACGAAATTTTGGAAATCCATTTTTGTTTAATTTCAGCCTTGTTTGAGGTGATATTGAAAAAAGAAGAACACTTTCTCGTGGCAACTTTTTGCCCTCTACCGAATGGCATAATCAGTTTTTATATGTAACGTTACGTCTCTCCGGGACCATCATCAACTTCATTTTTTTTAAATACGACCCTGGAAATTTTATTACATTTTTTGCAAGCCTTCATGACCACCAATACTGTACTGCCTCAGTTCGAACCAGATTCAGACGTTTTGTCTCTAAAAATTCATCTTCAATGTATTCGTTCCAAATTTATTATATAAACAACTTTTTAGAACTTGTGTAATTTATTTCTGGTAGAATAATTTTATTATTTTATGGTTTTTGCTTGAAGAAGTTGAAACTCATGTAAAAAATGTGATAAAAGGTGATAACTTCTTGGTAGTGAAATAACAAGTTTAACAACTAGATATCGATGGTGTTCTGACAATCCCCTATCTGCAAATTTTCTGAAATTTCAAATTTAGCGCCAAATAAACAAGTGCATCGTTGTACGCAAGCCAGGAACTCCACCCAACTGCAGCATTACAGTATTAGTATTCAAATTGTGTAAAGTAATATCTCCTAACTGAATTGCCTACATAACCTTAAAAAATATCTCCTATCTACAAGCGCGCCTTATAACAGCATAAGAGGTTTCATGGCAGGTGAGTCGTTTTAATAAAACAGAAGTTTTTACTTAGTATAAGTCTAATATTCTAATCAACAATATAATATGAAGCATAAAACTAGTTGTATTTGTTTTGTTGTAAGCTTATTAGAATTTAATTAGTAACATTTTATATGTTCATAAAGTTAGATAACATAATCAGACTGCCTCTTTTCTAAATTTGTTTTTGCTAAACGTGCGAAACTCCAAGTGATTACGGTACCTATTTTAAAAGTATAATCTCATTATAAATTTGATTACAGGTAAAATCCATGTATACCTACAATGTCTGATAGATCAAAAAGAATTCTCAATCTCGCCTTGAGTAGTGTTTCACAAGAGCAGAATATTTTTGAAGAGACTAGTAACAACATTAATATAGAAGAACTTCCAATAATTTTTGATGAGAACAATGTTTTCAATAATCTGGAAAATGATGTTGATATTAACACCTTATCACAAGACATGATGTATAGTCACCCAACGACTGTAAAAAACGATGGGTCAGTTAATTTCTGCAGTGTTATACCAACCATAGAGCACCCTAAAATAACAATTTTGCAAAATATTTCGTTAACTCCATTAACAACTACAGATTACGAAAACCAATCCAAGTCTAGTGACAACCCACTTACAGATTTTGACACTGATCCACTGGTCGATGATACTTTGTTTAATAACACAACGAACCAAAATGAAACCGGAATAGAAAGTTCTGAATCCCCAGATGTAGCTATACAATTTTCAACTAATGCAATAACGGACCATGATGGTTTGAATGATGTATCAAACTTAAATGAAACTGCAGCAGAAGAATACGAAAAAAGCGCCACCTTTATTTTACAATCTGCTGAATAAGAAGAAAGTCAAATTCTAGATAACCAGAACTGAATATCGAAACTGACTCAGAAGATGGAGAAAATCAAAGGAAAAGAAGAAAGCTAACAAATTCCGACACCTGGAAAAAAACGCTAATAAAAAAACTTCGCATGGAAGGAAAGTAATATCTGGAATATACTCGAAGAGATGGTACTGTGCACCACAATACGATAAGAGAACCTCGGAAATTAGGCCCTACTTGCCAATCTAGAAATTGCTCGTTCTAAAAATAGATTCTGTTCAGATTTTTCCGAAACTCATCGAAGAGATCTTTTTGATCATTTCTGGTCTGAGGCGAGTTGGGATCAAAAAGAAATTTTTGTAGCATCACATGTGTCACGAGTTAACCCCAAACGTAAAACCACTGAAGGAAATTCCAGGCGTGAAGGTACATTTGTCTACACTTTGCCCATGAAAGGTTATGACAAAAAAGTAGTCTGTCGCACTACGTTTCTTAATACATTAGGGCTAAGACCTTTTACCGTCCAATCCTGGGTGAACCAGAGCACTTACAACATTATTCCTCAACAAGAAGTTGCCCGTTCTAAAAGAAAACTGGCATTATCTGCCAAAACTTATGACCTAGTTTTTAAATACATTTATAGACAAACTACCAAAATTACCTTCCCATTACTCAAGAAAAGATACTTCCAAGTTGTACTTAGAACCAATTTTTGTATCAATGCAGGATCTTCTAAATCATTACAGAAGCTACTGCCAAGAACAGGATCGAACACCTTTATCCAGACAGGTTTTCACTAAGAAGCTGTAAAAAAAATATTTCTATTTATCAAAAAAACAAAGATCAATGTGACACGTGTGCTGTGTATAATGTTGGCAACGTATCCCCTGAAGAGTGGAGTTTACACATAGGTAAAAAATATAGGGCTCGTGATGAAAAAGAAATAGATAAAATTCATGCCCAAGAAAATATCTGCATTACTTTAACGATGGATCTTCAGGCTGTTAAAGTGAGTCCAAATGTAAATGCTAGCGCAATTTTTTTTTTAAACCAAACTATGCTGTTACAATTTTACCGTGTATAACTTGGAGTCTCATGAAGTAGTTTGTTATTGGTTCACGGAAGTCGATTCGGATCTTCAAGCTTCTACTTTCACTTCCATCATACTAGAGCATCTAGAAAAATACTGCGTCAGTAAAAAGGTACCAATTGTAATATATTCAGAAGGATGTACCTATCAAAATAGGAATAACATTCTCGCAAATGCTTTATTCATTTTTTCTATGAAACATTACGTAGAGATCTTTCAAAAATTTTTAGAGCGTGGGCACACACAAATGGAATGCGACAGTGTCCACGCTCTAATAGAACGAAAACTCAAAAGCAAAGATATATATTTACCAGCTGATTATGTTAGAGCCACTATGGAAGCACGAAAAAAGCCGATGCCATATGAAACTCGAGTATTGAAACGTCCTTTTTTTAAAAACTTTGCGGAAAAGAAAGGCATGAGATATCACTCGATTAGGCCAGGACGATGCAAGAACGATCCAACTGTAACCGACATAAAAGCCTTATCATACAGTCCCGACGGTATTATTCGATATAAGTTTGATTTTGATGACGAATGGCGAGAGTTGCCCATAAGACCGAAAAGTATTACTGTCAGTGATTGCAGTTACCCACAATTGCATAAATCAACATTAAAACTGTCTTACTCAAAGTGGAAACACCTACAAGAATTAAAGTCAGTAATTCCGGAAGACTGCCATACGTTCTATGATAATTTACCAAAAAATGAAAAAGACTGAAGTTTATTTATATTTAAAGGAATTTTGTTTGATTTTATGTTTATGTGTAAGCAGAATATATATTTTTATTTTGTTTATTTACTTTCTAATATTTGTAATAAAATTATAACTTTTAAACTTGATAGTTATTATAGAGTAATTCCACCTATCTAACTCGAATCTTCCTGGGGACACACTTAGAAAATTAGCCTAACCTAACAAAACCACCTATCTCAAATAAAATCAATACTAATATCTCCTATGTGTTTTTTCTTGATAACCACCAACAAAAAAGCTATGTTTATGTAAAAAAATGTTGTAATAATGAATAATAAACATGGTAAAACTCTGCAGACAAAATCGACCTAATAGAACAAAACTTCAACTGTTTTTTGTGTCTCCTGTAAAATGACAAATTTTCAGATAAGAGATATTGTCAGGACACCATCGATATTGTGTGTATAATTCAATGCTGAACGGGGCTTTAGTTCATAAAGTAAGTAGTTGTTTAAATTAATTTATAGTTTGTCTTTAAAGTTGCCTTTTAACTTACCTAGAAGTTGATGTTAACGAGCATATGAGGTCTGTTCAGAAAATAACAAAACTTTATTATTAATTTGATACATTATTGGTCCTTGTCTCCTTTAACGTATTCCCCTCCCCTATTCACACACTTTTTCCAGCGGTGTTTCCATAATGGCGTCCTTTCAGCGATTTTAATTTCGGAAATAAGAAAGGATCGCAAGGAGACAGGTCTGGCGAGTAAAGGAGGATGAGGGAGGACAAATTGACAAAACGGAGTGCACGGGCGCATTGTCATGGTGCAAGAACTGGTCTCTTCTTTGCGGATTCTATACTTAAAAGAATTTAAGGAGGATAAAAAAATATCTGCCCTTTTTTGAAAATATTAACAACATGGTCATCAAGGTTAGTCTTATTAAAAAAAAGGAATACATATTTTTCGTTTCATTAATTTGTGGATTTTTTTATAATACATTTTCTGTGTGAACTAGAAATCATGAGACGAAGATTCCTACCACCCCTATTGAATGATAGTTAAATGTTTGAATATTTTTTCATCGCTCCTCCTATACCTTTTAAATAGTTTAAAGACAATTTCGCCATCTATGGACCAGTGTCAAAATCGACAAGTTGCTAACACACCAAGCAGATGACTGTCCCTATCGAATTTCTAGACTTTTCTTAAAATTTAAAAGACGTGTGTGCTGTTGCTGAATCGGACGAGCCGAATATTCTAGGTTTACGAGGTCGCTGTCAAGGTGTCAAGTCGATTTGATTTTGGATAATTGTAGGTTATTTAGAGGAAAATAATATTAATCCTTCAAAAAATAGCCAAAGTAAATTGGTTTAATTTGTAATTGAAGGTAAGAAAGTTTCCGAGACTATAAAACACTTTATTTTCAAGATACTCCTTAAAGTCTCCTTAATTTGTTTCTCTTAAGATTGCTCTGTCTTTTAGGTGTTTGAATCTGTGATTAGATAATTTATTGTTAAACATGGCTAAATGGGGCGAAGGTGATCCTAGATGGATTGTAGAGGAAAGGCCTGATGCCACAAATGTAAATAATTGGCATTGGACAGAAAAAAATGCTAGCCCCTGGTCTCAAGAGCGAATAAAGGAATTGTTTAAAGATGTTCCAGTAAAAAGTGATGAGGCTGACATTAACATTACCGAGGTTGAAAAATTGGAAGGTGAAGCGTCAGCTAACAATAGAAAAGGGAAATTAATTTTTTTCTTTGAATGGGACATTGTGTTAAAGTGGAGTGGGAAACTGAAGAAAGGAACAGATAGAGATTTTAGTGGTAAAGTCAAAATCCCGAATCTGTCGGAGGAAAATGATGTCTCTGAGTTGGATGTAAGTAAATGATATTAATCGATCAGCATAATACATAAAAAAATTGTTTTGATTTTAATGGTTTCTGAGAGTTTCTAACTACCTACTGTTAAAATAGACTGTCCATAGTGTAATTTACAATATACTTTGGTAGGTAATGTTTTTAATTTTAGATTCAAATTTCCGTAAAGGATGAGGATGAAGAAGGTTCCAAACTGAAACAGATCATGATAAAATCAGGGAAAGACCTAATAAGAGAACAGCTTGCAAAGTATATTTCTGGATTGAAAGAAGAATTTTCGAAAGGCATGATACTACCGAAAAAAGGAGAAGTTAAGCCAGACAGCATTAAAGTCTTGGCAAGCGGATTTAACAAGAAAATGAACATGGATCCAATAGTAAATTCTAAAGAGCCAAAAATAGGACATAAGATAGACACTACAACTATTAAGCAAACTCACAAATTCCAGTGCACAGCACAAGAATTCTATGATGCCCTTACAAGAATAGAATTGGTGACAGCGTTCACAAGAGGCCATGTTAAGTTGGATCCTGTTAAAGGAGGAAAGTTCGAATTATTTGGTGGCAATATAGTTGGCAAATTCAATGAATTAGTACCTGCTAAAAAAATCGTTAAACAGTGGAGGTATAAGCAATGGCCGGAAGGGCATTATTCTACTGTTACGATTCTTATAGATCAAAAGGTAAGTGGTTTTCTGTATATTTATATCATATGTATTTATTTACTCAAACATTGGATATGTACAGTGTGTCCCAATATTTAACAAATCTTAAGTCTAGAAGTAATTTTCTGCTGAGTTTGATGGATGGAAAAGATGAATCTGTTGAAGTCATGAAAGTTTTTATACAGCTTAAAATTATATAATTCATTAAAAAGGAAGTTTGGTTAGGAATTTTCGACAGATTTATCATTTTAAAGTCAAGGCATTATTCAAAGTACAGTGGGCTAATTTTCCCATTATGGTTTCCTGTAATTCTAGTCTCGGCTGAAAATTATTATCAGGTCCTTAAGTTTTAACAATTTGTTAAGAAAATGATAAATATGGCTATTATGTTATGTTAACATTGAGAATCTAAGTTGTACATTGAATTTGAGACATTCTGTATTTTGAAATTATTTATCGTCTATACGTAGGTCGTTCGGTGAGTCTTGTCATTCCACTATAAAATATTACTGTTTTTCAAAGTATGTACCTTCACTTGTTACACATTTATGTATACGTTCAAAACAGCCATGAAACCAGTGATTCTATTTCTCTTCTGAGATGGATGCGCAACATTCGTCCCAGGCAGCTAAAATCTCGTCATCTGAAGAAAACTTGTGTCCTTTTCATTGATTTTTCACGTAGTGGAGGAGTGCGAAGTCACAGGGCGCTATTTCGGGACTGTTTAAGTCTGATACCAGAAGAGTTCAGAAAATCTACGGACAGCTGGGCGTGATGAGCTGGTGCATTATCATGATGCAATAACCAAGTGTGCAGTTGGCATTTTGGTCGCAATTCTAGAAGCGTGTTGAGAATCAGAAGCAAACACGATTCAGTATACCAATCCGTAGTAACAGTGCGTTGGGTATCTAAAGGAATTATTTTGATTATACCACTACGACCAAAAAAACCACGATCATTTTTTTCTTGACTGAATGTGACCGCATAGGCATATTCAGATAGTCTTCACCTTCAAACACTCATACGCGACTTTGTGATTTTGTTAGTACATCATAATAATAAAGCCAAGTTTCGTCTCCTGTAACAATTAAAGACACCTCAGAAGGTCGTCCAAATTTGAACATTTTGAGCATTTTTTTGCACTATTTCACACAACGCCCCCTTTCCTCTTCAGTTAATTTATGTGGTACAAAAAGTGTACAAACTTTGTGTATTTCTAGATGTTCATTTAAAATTTTATTTACGGTTTATTCAGAAATATTAAAGGTTTCCTGGATCTGTTTATATGTGATTCGGCGGTCTTCGCAAATTAGTTTTTGAGCAGCGGTTATTGTTTGGGTGTAGTCACTTTGCTCTGCTAGTTCAGACGCTGATCATCCTCTAATTAAAAAATGTCTCTTTTAAACTGTTTATATGATCGTTCGACAATTTTGAGGGATGGCACAATATCGCCCGATTAACGTTTCACTTCGTGGTACTGTTGGTGAGACAGCTCACGAGAAAAATTATAATAAATTATCTCGCGAATTTGATGCACATTTACACCCTGTTTACTTGTCACTGCCCAGGCAAGTTACTGATAAGTTTTGACTGTAAACATGAATATGTACGTACTATATACAGGGCGTTTCATAATGATGTGCAAATATTTTAAGGAGGTGTTTAGAAAGTAATTTTAGGGGGGTACTTCCTATAAATTTTTTTGATTTGAGCCCTCTTGAGGCAATGTTCAAATTTCAAAATGGCCGAAAAAATTAACTTATTTTTTTTTTCACTAAAATGCTACACATAATAATTAGTATAACATTTACCAAAAACGATCGTCATTTTTGATGCATTTGTTGCAAAATTTCTTTTTTTATCAATAGGAAAAGCTAAGCAAATATGAACTAAAAATTGAATAAATAAAATGAAAGCTAATTTTTTTGGCCATATTTTCTGGGGGGGGGGGGGGGGGTAAAATTGAAAAAATTTATTGGAAATACCCCCTCTAAAATTACTCTTTAAACACCTTAAAATATTTGTACTTCATATGAAACACCCTATATACAGGGTGGTCCAGATTTTAAAAGACAAACTTTGGGAAAGTACTAAACAAAAATTAACATCACTTTGCTCTATGAACATAGGCACAGAAAACCACCATTAATGAGATACAGGGCCTTGAAATTATCCAAAATAAAACAATTTTTTTAAATCTCTGAAAACCACTTCATCAAAATCCAAATTTGGTACACATTTTTTTTCAAATATTTCTCCTAGTTTTGTATGTACACAGTCCAAATTCAAAAACCAGTGATGAAGAAACTTGGATAATGTTTCATAACTCGTAAACCATTCACTTTTCGACAAAAATAAAAGAATGTTTTTCCATCCGGAATGTTTCAGATCATTATAAAAAGTATTCATATTACCAATTAATTCAGTGGCGTAGAAGTTTTACTTTAAATAGGGAAACGATATACTTGTTTCTCTGCCACTGGTTTTTGAATTTGAATTGTATGCATACAGAACTAGGAGAATTATTAAAAAAAAATGTGGACCAAATTTGGATAAATTTGATGAAGTAGTTTTCCAGATATTTAAATAAATTGTTTCAATTTTGTTAATTTCAACGCCCTGTATCTCATAAACGGTGGCTTTTTGCGTCTATGTTCATAGAGCAAAGTGATTCTAATTTTTGTTGTTTAGTACTTTCTCGAAGTTTGTCTATTAAAATCTGGACCACCCTGTAGATATAAAAATAAACGGTTTAGCTTTTGATATAGTGACGAACAACAAGACTTACCGAGCGACCTCTGTATTATGAACATTTTTAATTTACGGTGAAAATGTTATTGAAGTGAACCAGAAAATGGTAATCAAATCGTGTTCTAGTCTTTACTTTTTATGTTTAGAGTGACCACACTGAAGTAACATTAGAACAATCTGGAGTACCATCTGGAGAAGCCGATGTAACGAAAGACAACTGGCAACGTTATTACTGGGATGCGATGAAACAAGCATTCGGGTTCGGAGCGTTCTTCACTTAGGCGAATTTTAGTAAAATTTTTGGCCACATTTACATTATGGACATGTATAGTATTGTATTTCGTACCACCACATTAAGGCAATTTAGATAATTTCGGGTTCTTATTGCTGTAGTCAATTTTGTTTGCTGCATTTTGGCAAGTTTTACATGTTCTTTTAGTTCTTTTTTTATATCTATTTATTTTTGCCACCCTGTTCAGTGATAATAAAATTTTCGTATCATTTTAATGTTATTTTCTTAACCCTTGTGGATTTTTACTGTAGAATGGAATAAATAATTGTAAAATATACATTTGGTTTGAATTTTTAACCAACCAAACATTAACTGTATAAATTCAAATATGAAAACGATTGATTTGAATAATTTTATTAATTATTTAGAGTGAGTAAATGAGAATTTGTACTGGTAAAAAAGTTAAAAGGGGGTTTAGATGGCATAAGCTCGATTTTTTTGAAAAATTTAATAGCGAAAACCAAATCTCAATACCTTGATTCGTTTAAGAGATACAGAGCATTTTTCAAGTCTGGCCATTTTCTATGACAACTTTCCGGAAATATTTAATTTTTCAATTCAAAGGTATGTGCAACATTTTTCTATAACCTTTGGTTTTTCAATTATTCAATTGACAAACTTTCATTTTTTTAAGTGAAACCACATTTTTTTCAGATTTTGGAGTCTTTCTACCTGTAATTTCAATTACGGCAATAATGATTTTAGAATTGTTTTAGTCAGTATGTAAGTACTGCTACCAACTTTTCAAAAGAACTAATTAACCTAACGTACAATAATAATAACATAAATTATAACGATAACTTAAAGTTAGTATGAATCCCCTTATGAGGAAATCAAGAATCGATAAATTGCAGCAACGTATGTAAAAAAAATTTACCTGATGATGGCTGCTCGAAGAGGAAACGTCAGATTGCAAAAGTGACGCCATTGGATAGAGCGAAACAGTGGCAATATAAATATGCAATTTATTTTAAAATTCGTTTGCAAATAAAGCCAGGAAAAAAAACGATTTTGTAAAATTTCTGGTTTTTTCGGTTATCTCCGGAACTATCCGGAATTTTAATACTAAATGGCATATTGTTAGGTATAAAAAAAAAACAATTTTTTTTCTAATTGAAACCACCCCGTATCTCTTACCATTTCCTAGATCCTAATGCTATCCCATTCTTATCTTGGACACACTGTATACAGGGCGATTCACAACTTATTCAAAAAAATTTAGGAATAGATGCATCATGAAAAATGGAGTCAATATCGCAAAAAATTTTGTTGTAAAATATTTTTAGTTTACGAGAAAAAATTATTGAAGTAGTAGTATTTTCAGCCCTTACATCGCTGGGCTACTATAGCCTCTATCATCATTCGTGTTGTGCGCAATGCGCTATCTCTCTACATGTGGCTTCAGGCGATTTCGAATACTGAAATCCGATTTTAGTATTAACGTTTCTGTGGTAGTGTTTACATTAGTTTTTCAATTGTCAAAAATGGGTTAAGTGTACAGCAACTCGGAGTTAATGGATATCATTTTAATTTATGGTGAAGCAAGACATTTGTGTTATTGTGAAGCAAGACAATAAGACAACATTTGTGTTAGTTCGTAGAAACTGGGTAAGACGGGCCCGGATGTGTTTACACATCGCTGGACAAAATTTTGTTGTAAAATCAGGTATGTCAAATTATTTTATTAATTAAAACCACAAATTAAATTTATTCGAACTACCCTTTGATTTTTTTTTTCAAAATTGTATTTGTAAAAGTTCCCTGTACATACAAACATTTTTTGTTGGATAACTTCTGAATCACCCTGTCTACTCCTTATAAGTAATTGTGAATCCTTAAGTCTGCTGTAATATTTTTCTGTTCTCCTCAAAATAATTAAATTTTTATAAAAAATGTAACAGTTGTATTAGATATAAAATAAAAAATTGGCGTCCCATTAAAAATATGTTTGCTTATATACATCTGAAGTTATTCTAAAAGAAAACTGAATAGAGAACCTACAAAAATTAAAAAAAAAAAAATAAACAAAAATGTATGCAACATAAAAAAAATACAAAAAATAGAAAACAAGGTATCTCTTAAATAGAAAGGAGAGCAAGATTAATTTCTATAGAAACCCCTCAAAAGTGTTATACTCGTGTTTGTTCTTTCCTATGGGTATAATTATTATCATTTAATTAAAAGATTCTTATATGTTCATTTTAATAGTTAATTATTTATATGGGAATAGAGGTATAGACAGAATTTTTTTAATAAGTCATTGTTTATTAAGACACAAATACAAATCAAACTTCAAACAGTAAGTAACTCATATACATAAATAAGTTAAATACATTTAATAACAAGTCCTTGTTCCAATTCCACTTTAAATATAGGAATAAAGAATCACAAGTAAGCAACTATTTGTTAACATTTAAAAAATGTTACGTCAAAATACCAAAAATAATACAATTTGGGAACTCAATGGTATTACAATAAATTTATAATTGGAAAATGCAATTACCATGATCTTGATAAGTATTTTGGGATGTACGTGGCATAATTCATGTCGATTACCTTGAAAAGGTCAAAATGATTAATGGAGAATATTATGTCAATTTATTGGACCGTTGTAACCATGCTGTAAAAGAAAAACGGCCGTATTTGACGAAGAAAAAAATATTCCACACACACACACACACACACAACATACACACTTGCATCGTCCCCATGGTAAAATTCTATGAGCAACCACTATATTTGCCAGATGTAGCACTCAGCGATTATCACCTATTTCAAATATAAAAAAAAGTTCTGCAGAAAAAAAAATTTGGCTATATCGATGTCATTGCTCAAACAAACACTTATTTTGAAGGGTTGGAGCAATCGTACTTTTGAAAGGGGGATATAAAAGATAAAAAATGTTGGACTAGACTAAATGTATCGAACTGAAAGGTGATTACGTTGAAAAATAAAATAAATTCTGCACATAAAAATGTTTTTTTCTTGTCAAGGTGTAACTTTAACTGAGGGTCAGTTTTTTAGGGGTAATAGTATGTGTTCACCTCAATACGAATCTGAAATTCTTTTTTATTTAGTCAAATAAATAGTTGAGTTATAATTTGTTTTTTAAAATGCACTTTTATATTTATGTACGCAGCCACTGTAAGATTCATGTATTACAAATACATGAATTGTAGGCAATCTACAGTGCATGTAAAGGGAGATAGTGCGAGTCAACGGTGACGGAGCAAAGGGGGTCAGTTATTGTTTCCACAGACTTCTAATATAAAATAGGCTACGTAAGTCATTCATAAATAGTTTTTGTTTACTTGACAACATTACTTGATGGTGAAGGGAAAGGGAATCAAAGGAGGGGACAATAATGTCGAAGAATTTGTCATTTCAGAGAATTTTTTGTCTCCAAGCTATTGGACTATACTTCGCGGTCAAAATTATAAAGAATGACTCATTGCTAGCTTTTGGATTAGTAAGGAGGATGAAGAGCGCAGGGATCGAAAATCCATAGGTGTATCTGTCTAGAAAGCAACAAGATATAGAAAATATGGAAAAAAGATAATAAAACATAACATCTATTATTTTTATGAGCAACAGTTTGCTACAACCGGCACTTTGATCCATTTTAATTATTATTATGTTCTAAAACTTCCCGATTGTATTTTTTTAATCTATAAATTTATTATAGCAACGGAGTTAGCACCTTTCGCCTATGCTTATCTTATGGCGTTTCTATTGACGTTTCTAATAAATGCAATAGACAAAGATAGAAGATAGATTGACGTTCAGTGTAACTCGGTCTATAGACGATTATAGATCTTATCGATGTGCATAGAGAGTCATCATTTAATATAAGACAAATAATATTGAACCGTTATAAAAATCATTTTATACGCTAATAATGTTTTTATATTATGTCTGAGTCACTCTTTATAATTTCAACCGCGAAGTATAGAAGTCGGTGCATTGTGGTTTTGGACGCCTCATTGTGAAACCTCTGTTCTATTTCTCGACACGTCACTCCCCATGTCTCATGTCTTGTTATAGTCTTTCCGATCTCAATTGAAGAACCAAGAGGTTGGCAGTATGTACCAGGTTCCGTCGCTGACACAACAACTCGGCATTGGAATATTTGAAAAACTTTTCCATTCCATATTTATTTAGCCATACCCATATACAGGTCTGGTCGAACTGTACTTGGAGATGGTAGAAATGTATACGCCCAGTTGAAGAACGCGCGCGTGGGTAAACGACGTACACAGACAGCCGAACTGGGCGATTGGGCAATAAATCTGAGCAGTTAACAAGTGGTTGACAAATTGCCTAGCAGTGTAGTGCAGCAATGCGGTATTTGGTGTGAAGTATTATAGGCACTTTCTATTAATCATTCATATTACAACTGCGAAAGGGAGAAATAAGAGGGATATTTTGTTTACTAATATTATTACAACATGGCATTTTGGAGACCTTTTGAAACGGAACAAAATGAAATTTACAATCAATAATATAATTTTTTATCTTTAGCAGAAAACTTTTAGGGGCACTTGTTAAACTCATTAAATTATCTTGCTAGGTGTTTTTATACATGTTCAATTGACTTCGGACTTCGAAAACTATACGTTGCTGTTTGCCACCAGAGGGTGGCTAGAATTGCCCAAAATTCTTAAAAAATAGGCCGTCTATTACAAAAGGCAATTTAATTTCAAAAATTTGAAATCTAATAACTTTAAAACTCAAGTTTGTTACAAATCCAATGTCTTATTTCCTCGTTTAGTTTGGCATGGTAGGTCCTTCACTGTATTATTTTAGGTACAACAAAGTAATCTTATATATAAAATGATTAATTACGTCTTACAGTTTCCTATGTCTATATACTCTTACAGCACTCAGTGATCTTTCTTTTTTGGTTTCTTCGGATTACGTGACCTAGACTTTGCTTTGCATAACGGACATATCGGCGCGTTTCTGTGAATTTGTTGATGACAGCTCAAGCATGACTTCATCGGTGGTGGTTGCTGCCTGTAAATCAGAAAGGGAATGGAATTATATCCCTCATAATGTATAAGGCGATCCACGGACAGTATAATAAAACTCAGGGGAAGCAAAAGCATCAAAGATGTACTGTGTCTAATTAAGCTCAGAAGTTAGGACCGTTAAAAAATAAATAATTTTTTTGCAATAACTCAGAAAGATTAAAGAATTATTCTGTGGTTTAGATGTGGGTGATGCGTGACCTGTTTCAGATTATGTCAGTCGTCTGCTAAATCGTGGTACCTGTGCTATTTCCAGTTTGATCTTTTAATGAATCTCCAATTGTGACAGCAAACCACAAGCTGATACAACAGTGTTTGACAATGAAATAATGTAGCAAAAAATTTAACCTGTATTCCTTTACTTCTGTATGAAATCATTATTCAACTCGTAATTAAAAAAAAAATGTAAAAGTAAAACAAAGGAGGGCCCCTAAGGCCGGTTTTTTACCTAATTTATTTTTGGCTGAAAAAATCTGAAAAAATTTTTTAGTATCTACTAGCAATACTGAATCATTTCCACCCTAAACGGACCAACTCCCTCACCCTCTTTTCCCCCTCCACCCCCTTAAATGTCAGGGAAACCATCGCTTAGTAGAGGAATCTTTAAAGAGCTTAGAGATGCGAAAGACATTCAATTCCTATGAATCTTAGATATGAAGAGTTTTTTGGGTCGCTGATCATGAATCTGGTCTCAGAATCACGAAATTTAAAATGTAGGATCCAATATGGCGGACAAGAAAATTGAAATGTCTTCAAAATGCATACATTTTTTTGTAATAGGGTTTTTTGAGTCTATGATTACGAATCTGGACTCTAAATCACGAAATTTTAATGATGGATTCAATATGGCGGACCAAAAAATTAAAATGTCTAAAATGTATGAATTTTTGTTTAGTAGTAAGGTAAAAAAAGAAAAAGATAACAATTATATCAACATATATGTGCATATTGACTACAGAATTGTAATTAGTGACCCAAAAAACCCCTCAACACAATTTGTGCATTTTGAAGACATTTTAAATTTTTTTTCCGTCATCTTGAACTTCGATATTCTGAAACCAGATTCGTGATCAGTGATACAAAATACTCTTCATATGTAAGATTCAATTAAGATTAAGCTCTTTAAAGATTCCTCTAATAAGCGATGGTTTCCACGGCATTTAAGGGGGTGGAGGGGGAAAGAAGCATGAGGGGGTTTAGAGTGGAAACGATTCAGTATTGCTAGTAGGTACTAAAAAAAATTTTCAGATTTTTTCAACTAAAAATAAATTAGGTCAGAAACTGGCCTTATGGATCCTCCTCCTTTGGCAGGTAGATGTAATGTGCATGCCTTAATAGCGCCGTTTATTAATAGGAAGCTCATGCCATTATCCTTCTCCTTTTATTTAGTAACNCAGAAGGTGGCTAGAATCACCAATAATTCTTAAAAAATAGACAGTCTATTACAAAAGGCAATTTCATTTCAAAAATTTGAAATCTAATAACTTTAAAACTCAAGTTTGTTACAAATCCAATGTCTTATTTCCTTGTTTAATTTGGCATGGTAAGTCCTTCACTGTATTATTTTAGGTACAACAAAGTAATCTTATATATAAAATGATTAATTACGTCTTACAGTTTCCTATGTCTATATACTCTTACAGCACTCAGTGATCTTTCTTTTTTGGTTTCTTCGGATTACGTGACCTAGACTTTGCTTTGCATAACGGACATATCGGCGCGTTTCTGTGAATTTGTTGATGACAGCTCAAGCATGACTTCATCGGTGGTGGTTGCTGCCTGTAAATCAGAAAGGGAATGGAATTATATCCCTCATAATGTATAAGGCGATCCACGGACAGTATAATAAAACTCAGGGGAAGCAAAAGCATCAAAGATGTACTGTGTCTAATTAAGCTCAGAAGTTAGGACCGTTAAAAAATAAATAATTTTTTTGCAATAACTCAGAAAGATTAAAGAATTATTCTGTGGTTTAGATGTGGGTGATGCGTGACCTGTTTCAGATTATGTCAGTCGTCTGCTAAATCGTGGTACCTGTGCTATTTCTAGTTTGATCTTTTAATGAATCTCCAATTGTGACAGCAAACCACAAGCTGATACAACAGAGTGTTTGACAATGAAATAATGTAGCAAAAAATTTAACCTGTATTCCTTTACTTCTGTATGAAATCATTATTCAATTCGTAATTAAAAAAAAAAAAAATGTAAAAGTAAAACAAAGGAGGAGGGCCCCTAAGGCCGGTTTATTGCCTAATTTATTTTTGATTGAAAAAATCAGAAAAATTTTTTTTAGTACCTACTAGCAATACTGAATTGTTTCCACCCTAAACGGACCAACTCCCTCACCCTCTTTTCCCCCTAAACCCCCTTAAATGCCAGGGAAACCATTGTTTATTAGAGGAATCTTTAAAGAGTTTAGAGATGCGAAATACATTAAATTCCTATGAATCTTACATATGAAGAGTTTTTTGGGTTGCTGATCACGAATCTGGTCTCAGAATCACGAAATTCAAAATGGCGGATCCAATATGGCGGACAAGAAAATTGAAATGTCTTCAAAATGCATACATTTTTTTTGTAATGGGGTGTTTTGAGTCTATGATTACGAATCTAGACTCTAAATCACGAAATTCAAAATGGCGGACAAAAAATTAAGATGTCTTTAAAATGCATGAATTTTTGTGTAGTAACGGGTTATCGATTTCGAGCTTGGGATAGTAAAGCCCTGCCAATTGATATTTGTCAAATGTCACTATCATCCAAACTGGTATTTGTTTAGTTAAAGGTTTGCCATTTCACAATATGGAACGTTTTATGACCGAACAACGCGTTAAAATTAATAAATTATGCTAAGAAAATGGTGGATCTTTGGTGGCTGTATTTCGCACAATACGCGGAGAATATGATTGACATAATTGTCCATCCCAGCAAACAACCACCGATACAGTGAGGAAATTCCAATAGACTGGATCGGTAACAGACATCGTAAGACCTGTGCATCATCGTTTTGCCCGTTCAATCGAAACATAGCCTCTGTGAATGAAAGTGTTAACGATGACCTGAATCTTTCGACTTCAAGTCGAGCTCAGCATTTGGGCCTGTCATACGGCACATTGTGGCGCCATGATCATCGACTTTTTTATCCTGAAATTGAAGATTTTAATCTGGACGATATGTGGTTTCAACAAAATAGGGCCACATGCCACACAACGCGGCCAATTATGGCTCTATTGCGCGAGAAATTCCCAGGACGCGTAATTTCGAGATTCGGCGATGTGGCTGGGCCACCAAAATCCTACGATTTAACGCCTTTGGATTTCTCTTTGTGGGGCTATGCGAAAGACCGTGGTTATGCGAACAATCCCACAACTTTGGAGTAATTGAAGGACGAGATATATCAAGTTATGGCCGAATTATTGCCCGAATTGTGTGAAAAAGTCTTCGAAAAAACCTCAAAAAGATTGAGTCCTGCAAACGGTTCCGTGGAGGACATTTGAATGATATTGTTTTTCACGCATAATGGCATAGTCCAAACTTTATTATGAAATAAAAGTTCCATCGAAATTTAAATATTCAGTGTGTTTTTTTAAACTTTACTTTCCCAAGGAGAAAATGGATAACCCGTTAGTAAAGTAAAAAAAGAAAAAGATACCTATTATATCAACGTATATGTGTATATTGACTTCAGAATCGTAATTAGTGACCCAAATAACCCCTCAACACAATTTGTGCATTTTGAAGACATTTTAATTTTTTTGTCCACCATATTTAATTTTGAGATTCTGAGACCAGATTCGTGATCAGCGATCCAAAACTCTTCAAATGTAAGACTCATAGGAATTGAATGTCTTTCGCATCTCCAAGCTCTTTAAAGATTCCTCTAATAAGCGGTGGTTTCCGCGATATTTAAGCGGCTGAAGGGGGAAAGGAGTGTGAAGGGGTTGGTTCGTTTAGAGCGGAAACAATTCAGTATTGCTAGTAGGTACTAAAAAAAATTTTCAGATTTTTTCAGCCAAAAATAAATTAGGTCAAAAACCGGCCTTAGGGGCCCTCCTCTTTTGGCAGGTAGATGTAATGTGCATGCCTTAATAGCGCCGTCTATTAATAGGAAGCTCAACTAAAATCTCATGCCATTATCCTTCTCCTTTTATTTAGTAACGGACATGGAGAAGTTACTTAAATAAGAAATTTTCCATAATAACATGCTCATAAAAATTTACATGATAGTATGAGATACGAATGTGAGATTACCACGTTTATCTGTTTTTTAATCGAAATACAATTTTTATAGATAATGACGAATAGAGGAATATGTTTCTGCTGGGTTGCCCATCAAAATATGGCTGCAAGTATTTTTAATTAAAATTAAATTAATAAATTTTTTCCAAACAATTTCGTTCACTTGTTTTAAAGATAAATTATAATTCATTTCACAGAGAGATATGTAAAGAACAAAAAAAGGTTGGTGAATGTAACATTTTTCAAAAAAAAAGTCCGGCCTGCCCGTGATTCGAACTGAGGACCTTCGGCTCCGCAGTAGCGAGCTTTTAAATAGAGCTATGGTGGCCTACTGGTGGGTGGAGCCTTTACGGGCTATTTGAAACTTTGGGTCTCCGCAGATATAAACAGAAAATTTAAAATGTTCAAATTAAGATCTATGGCTATAATATCGTCTCTAAAAGATCAGAACTAGCGTGTAATGGCAAAATAACGAATCGCCGTGGTCCGATCAGTCCGGAAAAAGCATCAAAAGACAAAATTTATTTTGACGTGTTCAATGATGTTTGGAAAAAATTAATTCATTTAATTTTAATTAAAAGTACTTGCCGCCATATTTTGATAGGCAACCCGGCAGAAACATATTTTTCTATTCATAGTTATCTGAAAAATGGTATTTCGACTAAAAAACAGATGAACATAGTAATTTCGCAGTCGGATCATGGACTATAAGGAGTTATTAATAAAATTGCTTGTAGTTTGCATTAATCAATTTTGAATATTCAGTGATGAAACACCACATTTTTTTATGCAAACACCTCATTGTTTAGATTATATAGACATAAATTATTTTTCGATACAATGGCATACTACGTTTTTAGTAACTGTTATATATTTACTAATTAAGTGTGTAATCAAGCCAAGGAAAAATAATTAATTTTTTTTTCGTAAACTATTAAGTTTATAAAAAAATGAGGAGAGTGAAAAAAAGTTTCTAAATGAAATGTATTATTAAAAGATATTTTTCTTGTTGCAATTAACTAACAGAAAAAAATTCTGAAAGAAATAAAACCAAGGGGTGCTAATTTCTTTAATTCAAAGACATAAACCAGAAAAAAAGACTACCAAAAGACTCCTGAAATGTTAGAATTAAATGTCAGAGAATGACATTTACGACATAAAGGTAGGGTAAGTAACAGTGCAGTCGCCACATCACAGATTTGCCATGGCAAGAACTGAATTGATACACAATAATTTATCGGAATTCTGCCGACAGCCTTGCATCGATAAGGTGATGTGATCTAGCTGAATATACCCAGACATTTTAAGTAAAGCTAAATCCCTTTGTTTTTAACACCAAATGCTGTTTTTTTAGTATATGTCCTTAAAAGTAATAACTTACGGCCACAAACGTTTCAATTACAGAAATATTTTGTGTGTATTTTATTACAAAATAAGAACAGGTGTCAACACCATTTTGTTTTGTAAAATTGTATTCTAGCTTTCAGAAGAGGTATTGGGACTAAAATTATGTTAATTGCCTTTTATGTGTTGTTAACTTGAAAATTTATAGCAAAACTAAAAACATTAATGATTGTTTATGATTGCAAACAGTCCATGAATAAAATAAACACTTGGTGTATTAATGGTACATTACAACTTCAATTATTAATGAGTGTTTTAAATCTTTGGTTACAGTAAGCTTTTCAGACTTTACTTATTACTATAAAGTTTTTTTATAATTGTTTAATTAGATTGAAATTAGAATATTCATGTATTATTTGGAGTCCCAATTGTAATTTGAACATTCAAAATTTAGAGAATGTTCATTTTCTTAAAGGCTGTGGTATATAAAGCAGATAGTGTTTATCCTGTAAAAAGTTATTTTGTAAAAATACAAATAATTAGTGATGGGACTACTGGAATGAAAATTATTGATTATATCGATTATGAAAATCTCTCGAGATATCTCGAGTGACCATATAGATTTATTCGATTATTTGGAGATGAATGACAGTGGCCACAACGTTACCAACGTCAGTCGTCACTCGTCACCGAATAACGCAAACGCGCTACTCGAGCGAGAGCGCAGATGTTTCGATTATTCCAACACTCTAATGAGCTACAAAACCTCGAGATAACACGGCCGAGAGAATGAATGAGACAATCAAATATCACCGACATACAATAAAAAAGATATGCAGGAATTTTATGTGAGGCACCGCGCGGTTTTAAAGGGTGTTTTAGAAGGGAGCTTTATTAAGCGAGGATAGAAATTCATATGAATGAAAATAATACAAAAATTATGTTTTCTATATAATTTTTTTTTTTCAAAAAAATCCCAAACAATGGACCTCTTTAGGCGGTGACTACTCATTTTAAACACATGCCGCTGAACCACTCAACTGGTAACGAAGAAATGCCGCAATCCGTGACAGTTATTCATTTACCTAGTATCAACATGTTTCGCATATGATTTGAGATAGGTTGGAAATTTTCGAAGTGAACTTTCGATTATATATCATTCGATTATAAAATTAATTCGAATGGTAACCTCTCGATTATTTAATTCATTCGATTATTGCCATCACTACAAATAATTAACTGTCTTTCACTTTCCAGTTTGTTAAACTTTTTAGCACCTCCTCTTCCTTTCATAGAAGTGCATTCTTTCGAAATCAATTTGATATTGTTCATTGTTACATTAATAGTACAATTAAATGGGTCTATAAATCACAATTTTGGTCAACTTAATCAAACAAATGTTCATTCTGAGCTATTGCGAACAATATTCTTATTCAAGTTTGACACACTAACTTCCAGTAACAGTTTAGACACGNTCCATAATCTTTTTTATACCATAAGAACCTCTTATAAAGGTTTCAAAACCACAAATAGTTTTCTCTTTCAAGAACCCAGGACCGGCTTTCACAAAATTTCCAGTTGCAAACATCAAATTCCCTGACTTTCATGAATATTTTTAAAATTCCCTGACCATTCCCTGTTTTTTATGAAGAATAACGAATTCCCTGACTTTTCCCGGTATTCCCGGTTTTCCCGGCCGCTACGAACCCTGTTCAGATAACATTACGTAGAACTCTATATTTTATGTAGATTTCAGAACATCTGTAATAAACAATCAACATTGTTTAAGAAACACATTTTCCCAAATTTTAACTAAGAAGAATATGTATTTAATAAATAAAAAATTTTTCTCGAAAACTAGGTTTGACCGCACAAAAATAACTTCAGATTCCTGTTCAGCAGCATCGAAAATAGGGGGGTAGACAAAATTTTGTGAAGATTTGGGAAGGTGCCACTATACTAAATAATTATCAAATTTTGGGTCTCTGCAGATGTAAACAGAAAATTTTAAATGTTCAAATTAAGATTTATTGCTATACTATCGTCTCCAAAAGATCAGATCTAGCATGTAACGACAAAATAACGACTCGTCGTGATCCAATCGGTCGGGAAAAAGCATTAAGACAAAATTTATTTGACGTATTCAGACGTTTGGAAAAAATTTATTAATTTAATTTTAATTAAAAATACTTGCGGCCATATTTTGATAGGCAACCCGGCAGAAACATATTCCTCTATTCATAATTATCTAAAAAATGGTATTTCGACTAAAAAACAGATGAACATAGTAATCTCGCCATCGGATCTTAGACTATAAGGAGTTATTTTGAATATTCAGTGATGAAATACTACACATTTTTTTTATGCAAACACCTCATTGTTTAGATTATATAAACATAAATTATTTTTCGAAACAATGGCATACTACGTTTTTAGTAACTGTTATATTTACTAATTAAGTATGTGTAATCAAGGCAAGGAAAATTCATTTTTTTTGCTCGTAAACTATTAAGTTTATGAAAAAATGAGGAGTGAAAAAAGTTTCTAAATGAAATGTAGTATTAAAAGACATTTTTCTTGTTGGAATTAGCACACGCAGAAAAAAGTTATGAGAGAAATAAAACCCTAATTTCTTGAATTCAAAGACATAAACCAGAAAAAAAAGACTACCAAAAGATATCATGCAAATAGTTGTTAACGTTTACCAAAATTCAAATTTCTAAGTTTAACCATTTTCGCTAATTTTTTTAGGCATTTTGAGATTCGAATATTTTCTCAGAGTATGCTCAAATCAAAAAAATTTATTGGAAGTACCCTCCTTAAAATTACTTTCTAAACACCTCCTTAAAATATTTGCACATCATTATGAAACACCCTGTATATTTTCTGAAAACTTCTGAAATGTTACAATTAAATGTCAGAGAATGACATTTACGACATAAAGGTTGCGTTTCCAGAAAGTAACAGTGTAGTCGCCACATCACAGATTTGCCATGGCAAGAACTGAATTAATACACAATAATTTATCGGAATTCTGCTGACAGCCTTGCATCGATAAGGTGATGTCATCTAGTTGAATATACCCAGACATTTTAAGTAAAGCTAAACCCTTTTTGTTTTTAACACCAAATGCTGTTATTTTTTAGCATAGGTCCTTAAATGTAATAACTTACAGCCACAAACGTTTCAATTACAGAAATATTTTTTGTGTATTTTATTACAAAATAAGAACAGGTAAGGTTGTCAACACCATTTTGTTTTGTAAAATTATATTCTAACTTTCAGAAGAGGTATTGGGGCTGAAAATGATAAAATTGCCTTTTTTATGCTGTTAACTTGAAAATTATACTTATAGCAAAACTAAAAATATTAATGATTGTTTAAGATTGCAAACAGTCCATAAATGAAATAAACACTTGGTGTATTAATGATAAATTGCAACTTCAATTATTAATGAGTGTTTTAAAGCTTTGGTTACAGTAAGCTTTTCAGATTTTAATGATGACTAGCACTATAAAATGTTATACCATTGTTTAATTAGATTTAAATTAGAATATTCATGTATTATTTGGAATCCTAATTGTAATTTGAACATTCAAAATTTAGAGAATGTTCATGTTTCTTAAAGGCTGTGAAAGATAAAGTAGATAGAGTTTATCCTGTAAAAAGTTATTTTGTAAAAATACAAATAATTAACTGTCTCACTTCTTAGTTTGTTAAACTTTTTAGCACCTCCTATTCCTTTCATAGAAGTGCATTCTTTCGAAATCAATTTGATATTTTTCATTGTTACATTAATAGTACAATTAAATGGGTCTATAAATCACAATTTTGGTCAACTTAATCAAACAAATGTTCATTCTGAGCTATTGCGAACAATAATATTCTTATTCAAGTTCAACATACTGTAACTTCCAGTAACAGTTTAGACACGAGTTAATGAGGAAACTCATGTTTTTGATTATCTACTTCCTTCTGCATGAATTTTTCTACACTTATAGTGAATCACCCTGTACATAAATTTTTGAACAAGCCTGAATTTAAAATAAAAATACTTCCAAACCAATTGCACATTTTTTGCTCTAATCGTATGTTACTTTTAATATTCTAACTATAGGATTGAAATATGATTAGATTATATAAAGGGGGCACCTTAGACTAAGATCCGACCTGAAAGTAGGCGTAGGAGGTCCCGGATGAGGTGAAGGCGCCATGCTTCCCGGACGTCCTGGCTCCGGTTTGTTGGTAACTAATCTCAAGGGGTTTGGAGGAGGCAAGAATGTTGGTGGTAATGGTGGAGCCAAAGAGCTAATTGAGTTTTCAGTGGGTGCAATCGGTCTGTTCCAATCTGCAGTCTTATTGAATGTTGATGTCTGTGATTTGTTAGAATTGTACAGTTGTGAAAATTTCCTAAGTGGACAAACAGATTCTATTATAATTTTGAATATATTTGAATAAATGAATTTAAATTGTTCGTTTAACTTACTCTGGAGTTATACTTGACCCTTCTTCTTCATGTAGTTCTGGAAGACGATCCAGTCCTAAACACTCTCTCCTAAGTCGATCAATTTCATTTTTCAGGGGTAGATATTCTTCATGCAAACGAAGTGCAGAATTCATAGATCTAGTGCGGCTCTCCTCTGCTTGTTTTATTACCCCCTCCATCTAAAATATATTGCAATTTATTCGAGATTTTATAACTCTCAGAAATACAGTTTATGTTCTGTTCTCAATGTTTCTCTGTGACTCCTAGCTCCAAGTAATATTAGACAGTTTTAGATTTTAGGTAGATAATACTTTCATTTCAGATATCTAGACTTACAGCGTTTATATCTGCATGAATTTGTCTCAACTCTTCTACATGAGACATTTTTTCTTGAAGAAGTAAATCCATTTCTTGTTTGTATTCTGATAAGCATTTCTCTTCTTGATCCTGTGCTTCTACCTCAAATACCAAACGGGCTTTCAATTTTTCTAACTGAATGGTTTTACTCCTAAAAATGATATTGATTTTATGGATGACACAAAATACAAAATATTATTAGGTACCTAATTTCTTTCAGAGCTTCTAATTTGGCAAACACCGCACGTTCATCAGTTGAAGTCATTTTTAATTTACTGATTTACAGATTCATTCAAGTTATATTTATTGTAACGATTTGTTTATTTTTTTTATTTCCACCTGGACACAGCTGTCAAAATAAACGTAAACCCCAAACACACAAACAAAACAAATTTCTTTAGAATACACCACAGACCACCGCATACACCATGGAATCGATTTTCAAGCAAGCACACTTTCGGATCAGATTAAAATAAACGAATCACGAACCAAAACGAATGGTCCACTTTACCAAGAAAACATGCATAAAAGTGGATGGTTGCAGAAGAGTTTAAAGATATATTACTGTTAATATTTATTCTTAATTACAGTTTAGTTTTTAAAAGTCCCAGAATGTATCAATAAATGACAACTGACAAAAAATGTACTTTGAAGCACTTCAGATTACCTTTTTGCGTTCCAATCACAGTATACTAATCAATCAGTAGGGAATCTTAAATGATTTATGAATGAATTCCGTATGGCAATTTTTAAATACCCCCACCCTAGGAAAAGTCGCTAAGAATATGGCGGATCATTCGAGCATATACTACTGGAGGCATGCCGTTGCGAAAATTGTGGCTGAGTGTGCGAGAGAAACAGACAGTACTTCAGTACATGCTGTCTCACTCTAGCACGTCACGATTGGTTGGAAATGAATGCTCCAACTGTCTGCCCCTCAACCACACTTTTTGAAATGGCAAGCTACCTCTAGTAGTATAGTAAACATAACCTGTTATTTTTCCTGGTTTTAATACTTTTAATTATTATATATTAATTTCTAATTAATTATTATAATTCGAGGTAATAAAGAGATTGTTAGCTATATAGTAGTGTTACACGTAAATTGAGTTTTTTTTTTTAAAGAGAAGTTTACATTTTTTGGTTAAATACAGGTTTGGTTATTTGAATTCCAGCAGAAATAATTTAGATTAGATTATATCGGTCTGAATTTTATAAATTTTGTTCAAAAACTTACGAAAGCGTATTTATTTTCTAAACATATTTTAAAATGTAAGTTTACTATAATTTTTATTTTAATATTATTAACTATTTATTGCGTATAGTATTGCTTATAAATAAATAATCACTAATAAAATACTCAAGAACAAGATAACTAAACTAAACAACTACTCGACATCATAAAATAAGGTTTTTAATTTATAAAGTTGGGTAAATTGTTTATTGTTGCTGATATTAACAAAAATAGACATGCATTGCACCGATCAGGAAAAGGCTAGAATAATTGATGCTCTTTGGCAGCAGGGAGATTCAGTTCGTAACATGNGGAGGGGATTGTCATGTCTAGCGGCTACGTCAAATCGTTTCTCCGCGTTTTGTCTTATTGTCTGTGTAGCGTTTGTGTATTGTAAGTCTCGTAATATGTCAGTGTTTCTTACGTACCAGGGCGCGTCGGTGGCCGTGCGGAGGGCTATGTTTTCCACAGCCTGTAATGACTTTAAGTGGCTTTTTGCCGCGTGACCCCACGCCGTGGAGGCGTAGGTTAGCTGCGGTTGAAGTACCACCTTGATAAGCGTTCGCTTATTCCTTAAACTGAGGGTGTTTCCACCTTTGAGTAAGGGATAGAGCCTAGCCCTGGTGGTCTTCGCTCGCGCCACCGTCTCCACGATGTGCGGTTTCCACGTGAGACGCTGGTCCATCGTCACGCCCAGGTATCGTGTTTGTCGATTCCAGGAGATAGGTTCCTGGGATAGTGTCAGTCTGTCGAGGTTTTGTGGGATTTTTCGTTTGGTAAAAAGGATAGCCGAACTTTTGTTGGGATTAATTTTGACTTTCCACCTGTTGCACCAGGTTTGAACACTGGAAGAACATTGACAATTGGAAAGTAGCTTATACCGAGAGATCCAGAATGACTGAAGCGTTTGGATATCTCTGATAAAAATATGTAGTATTGACAGAGACAGGCACAGGCTGCGATCTCCAAACAGTCCAAACACTTCAGTCATTCTGGATCAATCTGTATATCTATCTATTTAGTATATAAAAGAAGAAGCGCCAATTATGAACACGTCACATAGATATGCTGAAAGTTTAACTAAAAAAGTTTGACTGAACTAATCCGACCAATCGCTGAACGCAGCCATAGTATATGTTAACTTTCTAGGGATAATTTCAATTCTAGGAATATTTTTATTTAGCCATTTACGTCAATTTATGACATATGACGTATGTGCCTATGTCCATAAATTTCTTCCATTCCTCCTATTTTTGCTTTCTAGTGGTGCTTGGTTAGTTGGATTGTGGGCCTTCAAGTTTCATTCATTTGGCGACCTTTATCAACTTTCCTATTTGCATCTCAGTTACACCAAAAACTCTAGAAACTAATTATATTTTCAGCTAAAATGTCCAGAATACAAAACGTCGCAATTGCTGTGTTATTTATAATTAGCACAGTTTCTGCACAAGGTAATTGTTTTTGTAAATACTTTTTAAGTAAAAAGTTCATACTTTAATAATTGGTGTCTAATATGTAAGTGATATGCTTAGTATATGACACTATACTTGGTTTTTAGGGTCCAAGTTAAAGGATTCCGATACTGACATAAATGATCAACCTGCTCCTATTCCACCTATTACAGAAATTAATCATATATCTGTTAGTACTGGTAAGTGACACTCTTGAACTTCATTAAAAAGGAATGACTAATATAAGCTGGTAATTGAAAACAATAATTCATATATCGCATTGACAAAAAAACCTAGGCTTCTAAGAGGGTGCGAGAGCAGTTAATGGCTATGTTTGTTTATTTCTGTTCTTCATTATAGTCAACATTTAAGTAAATGTGTAATTGTAAAATTTTTCACTGTTTTACTCCCATACACGTGTTGTATTGGCAGAACTATCTCTTATTTATATATATTTAAAGCCAAATGGACAATAAAGGAAAACGTGGAATGCGATTAACCTCGAAGTTAATTTTTGAACTAATAAATTAGCTAAATTAAAAGTGTAGGTATTTTTTTCAACTACAGTTCAAGGCTACAATTGAAGTGAATTGGTAAATTAATTATCCAGTAATTAATAACTGCAGTCGTGGTTTATAAGTTTAGCATTTACGTAGTTAAAAATGTAAGTAGTACTTTGGGTGACTTCTACTTTTGTGTCTTGATAAGAATATGTATTTACTTAACAAATTACATTGTATTGAGTTAATATATTATGGAAAGCTTTCTATGTTTAGATAGATTAGCATTTGATAACTTGTTGACCTCAGTTTAGGTTGAAATTCAATGATAATTTCCAGCGGATATTGGAATACAAAAAATGCTACAAGATTGTATAGTTTGGTTTTTCATATACTTCCAGGAAATAAATAATTGGTAATTTCATTGCAATATTATAAAATTTTTCAGTAGGCTGGACTATATTATTTAAAATAAATTATAGGTATACTATTTGCCTCCTATTGGAATGGATTAGATATTCATTTGTTATTTGAACTCTTAAGGGTATGCACATAAATTTGGATATAGATATGCATGTACTAGCAAATGTACCTTTGGGAATAAGGTTTTGTTTTGATTTCTTATCGTTTTTGCTTTTTTATTGTGGTTTAACATGATCATAGTATGTTATTCAACAAGAGAATTGAATAGTAACCAATACTCGTTAAGAATGTTAATTGCTCTGAAATAGTTTAATTTTTCAAAGTTAAGCAAGTTATTAATTTTTTTTAATAGTATAAGAATCATTACCTAGTTACCTAAATAGTCACTTCTTAAAACAATCCTTTATGTTTCGAAATATGCTGTATAAATTAGTGTCGGAATGAATTACTTATACAGTCCGTACAATATTTGTTGAGATATAATTCCAAGAAAAGAATAAATAAGCCAATAAAGTTCTGTTATCGATACTACTGTAACAATTTACCTCAGCAGGAGCGTGTTGGAATTTTCCACCAATGTCTTTCTAACTCGGTTGTCAAATGCTGTGGCAGGGTCCTGCTTTGTAATTTTCCATCAATGTCTTGCTACCTTGAGTGTTGAATGGGGTTAATTCCAAGAAAGTGTCCTAGAAGAAGTGTCCTTCTTAGAATTCTGTCTCAACAAATATCGTATGGACTATATCTCCATTTAAATTATGAATAAATATCTTGACATGATATCTACTGTCCCCGTTTAAGGCCGCTCGCAAACACGGCCACTTGTGGTCGCCACTAGTGGCGGCCACCAAGTGGCCGTGTTTGCGAGCGGCCTTTGGGTTCAGCGCAAACACAGCGTTGGCAGTGGATCGATCGGGCCACACGTTGTGGCAAAAGTCGTACCTCGCTGCTTGTAGCCGACGACAGTCACTCGTCTTTCGGCGCACACGCGGCCACAGTCTATCGCCACGTTTCTGTTCGACTGGTACGTATTCTGAATTATGAACACAGAAATGGAGGACAGTATGGACGTAGATGTGTTTATATCCGAAACTGACTAGAGACGATACTGGATAGAAAATTCATGAAAAGTGGCGGCCACTGGTTAAAAAATTAGAAGCGCGTGGCGGCCACCTGTAGCGAATACTAGTGGTTGCTTCTAGCCACTTGGTGGCCGCCACTAGTGGCGACCACAAGTGGCCATGTTTGCGAGCGGCCTAAAGGTGTATATTTTTTTTATTATGTATTTTTGGAAAAATTTATTTACATCGTGTAATATTGTATTTATTTACATTATTAATACAGACTGTAGTATGTCGTACCAAAACAGAGAGAGTAATATATTGGTTTTACTATGAAGGAAACAGGAAATTTGTAATGATTGCTAGATGGAAGTGGTTTATAGATAATCACAAATTGATTATTATATAAGTGTTATTGTTATTGTAAATGTTTATAAACATTTTCACAATATACAACACCAAGCTGGTCCCACCAAATACAGAGCACGAATATTCGGCCTTGCCATCGATATTGATGCATGACCAGCAAACCCCAAGATTTTCTACACTTAGGATTATCATCGTGTATTCATTTTTCATCGCTAGTTATGATACGATGCAAAAAAACCCTTTCTATTTTGCCTTCGAAGCAATTGCTCAGAAGTGAAAAGTCACCGTTCAAAATCTATCCGCTTCAGGTCCTATGGCACTCAATTTCCTTGCTTTTGAATCACACCGAGTGGATTTAAATGTTTGGAAACTGTTGTGTAATCAACATTAAAAGATTCAGCAAGTTCATCTTGTGTTTGACATCATCTTGGTCTAGTAATGCTTCCAATTCCTCGTCTTTAAACTTTTTCGGTTCACCAGGGCATTCTGCAACTGTATCGAAATCACCACTTCTAAAATGTCGAAACCAATACTCACCCGTTTTTATTGATGGGAGTATGTTAACTGTAACTTTCCAACTACACTCGATGACTTTCAGCAGAATTTTTCTCTGAATTAAACAGGATAAGCAAAACTTGCAAATGGTGTTTTGTTGATTCGTAATTGGACATCTTCGGAGCTGAGAAAATATGTTGTTTACAGTTCAGCATAATGACACGTAATAAAAAAGTAAAGCCTAATGACAGAGCTTTGACAGTAACATAATTACAGTGTCCGTTGTGATATAGCATAAGTTATGCCATCTATTGTAAATCCCTTAAAATTAATTCACAGTCCTAGTAAATGTAAAAAAAGTTAAATAGTTCCAATTTCTACAGTATTAACTGTGCCTTATCAAGCAGTGGGAGCTCTATCAGAACAGCTCGTTCAGACATTTCAAGTCAGGCAATTCACTGAACAATTTTTAAAAGGTTGTTCAGTTTAACTGTTCTTACTTATCAAATTCAATATTTGTTTTGTTTGTGCTGCTTTCAAAGCTAAACTTAAAAGTTTTGTTATGCTCTTTTTATTAATTTTTGTTATTTATCCGCATTACAAGCCATTACGATCTTGTATAAAAATTATTGCATATTGTTTCTCATTTTTTCCCTGAAGCATCTTGACCACAGTAGTCATATTTTAAAACCTGCTCAGTATTTTCAATCATCTGATTGGTCTGATCAACAAAATATTTACTCACTAAATGACTGACTAGTACATCCATTCGCTGAATATTTCACTGAATGCATTCAAAATATTACATATATTATAAAAGTATCCGACCTTTGGCCGAAGAAAAAAGCCTGTTGTACATGGAGCGTTGGAAATCTAATCACCCTCGAAGTAGTCTCCTTGGGACTCCACGCACTTCTCCCAGCGGTACTGCCTTTGTTGGAAGACTGGACGGGCCTTCTCTGGTCTTGGTGACGTTGAATGCTTCCACTTGACGACTGGGATTTGGTTTCCGGGTCATACCCGTACACCCAAGACTCGTCACCAGTGATGATGGTGTTCATGAAGTCGGGGTCACTATTTGTGGAATCCAGCATGTCCTGTGAGACTTCAACACAAAGTTGCTTTTGCTCCGCCATGCAACTCTTCATGGCTAAATCTTGGGTCGTAATAGAATGTGCTGAAAAAGTGCTGATGCCCATCTCTTCCGCAATTTCTCGGATAGTCGCACGACGGCCCCGCACCACCACCACCACATTTACACCATTCACTTTGGCAATGACCTCGTCATTTCGGCATGTTGATGGCCGACCGGAGCGTGGCTCGCTCTCCACCGATGTGCGGCCATCTTAAAACCGGTTGTATCACTCCTTGCGATAAAGAAACTGATGAGAGCACTACACACTACTCAAACACTGCTTGCCAGTGACTGACGCTCTAGACAGACGGGAAAAAATTCACACATGCTTACAAAGATTCAAAGTAAGCTCATGCAAGCGTGCTCGATTCAGATCCATAAGGTTTTCACAAAACAAAATAAGGTCGGATATTTTTCTAACAGACATCGTATATGTTTACAGCTTTAATTTTTCAAAATCCACTTTATTTTTTAAAACATGTAGTCTTGTTTATTTTCAGAACCTCCAAAAGGGAGTGATACAACTACCTCACCTACCACAACAACAACAAATAAAACAACTACACCTACAGAAAAACCTAGTACTACTCCTGTCACTCCCATAACCACTACTAAGGCTCCTGAACCTACAACAGTGTCTACAACTACCATCACACCAACAACAACATCTTCTACTCCAAAGCCTATCACTGTTACGACTGCAAAACCAACAGGGGCACCACCAACTACGCCTGTTCCATCTCACAGAAGGTAAGTAATCATTGTAATTTAAAGTTCAGATAGCAATTTTCAGATTTTAGACACCATTTAGCAAAAACTAGCTGTGGGTACACATGTCTGCAAGTGACTCATTTTAAGTATTACGTTGGTTGAAAAATCACGTCAGTTGAAAAATCACGTTGGGTGAAACAGTCACGTCGGTTGCAATGAGTAGATTGGACCGGGCAGCGTCAGGCTGGCGCTATTGATGTAATACTTAAAATCGATCACTTCCACACGTGTACCCAATCCACACTAGCAAACATGTTTTCCAGTGTTTTTTTTTCAATTTTGCAAAAATTTGTCATATTACCGTGTGTGTAAAAGTGATAAAATTTGTCCCATTCGCTTAAACCTTATACCTTAAACCTTACCCACTTTAATTTTGAAAAAATTCAGGAATAGAACTTAAAATTAATCTCATTTAAAACAATGCACTTCTAAAAGCCTTTAAAAGTTAAAGTTGTTAAAATTTTAATTTTTTGAAATTATTTTTCATTAATATATCTGACTCATGTTTCGTACACCCTGTGAGAGTGCTGGAAGCAATAAAAATCATTTTCAAACATTTCATTTTCTGCATTAATGGCACACGAAGGATGTATGAAATTATTTTTCCTATCTATGAATCTTTTCAAGAAGATGACTAAATTTTTTAATTATCTTGTCAGTTCCAAACTAAGAATGCCCCTTGTTAATTTTTATTAAAATTGTTAGATTTTGAGTAAATATAAATAAAAACACTGTTCATTTGAAGGCAAAAACTGTGAGATCCCAAAGATAAATATCTTGTCAAATTTACATATTTGATTTCTCTTCTTAAAGAATTAAGCAAAGCTAATACAAGCATAAATACTAAAATCCTTCATTTCTCAGATATACAGTTAATTACTATCTTCGGCTTCTACTTTTTTTTTCTAAGCAACCGCTCTACTGTTAACAACGAGAACCCTGATTAGTTTTCTGTGTAAATTAATTTTTTATTGTGAAATAAGTTGCGAAATGGCATATTGTTGTTGTCTCACTTAGAATGAGGAAAATATAATTTAGAATGTAGGACGAAATGTGTTCCACCGGCTATAAAAAATTGTTTAATTATTGACTCTTTGAGCTTCAACAATGTTCTATTTATAAGGTGATAAAGCATTAATCAAATAAATCACAGTTTGTTTGGAAACATATATCTGTCTGGTGAATTTAAATACAGTGAAAATCGGTCATAACGATCTTCAAGGAATCCTTTGTTTATGGTTGTTATAACCATAGAAGTAATAAACAATTACATATATTTTATTTAAAGTGTTTATTAGAAAAATGAGAAATTTACAATATAAGTCTTTAAGTATGTACATGGACTGCTTTCTGTTCAGAAGATTTCGCCCGCTTCATTTCCAGTAAATTGCTTTCGAATAGAGACTTTTTCACTAGTGAAATCATATGTTGTAGTATGTGTAATATGAGTGAACGAATATATTTAAACTACCATATAACGACAAATAACAATAAGATCAAAAGAGATAGAAATAGTATGTACAAGTCAGATATTCACCAATATTCAGTCGCGAAAAAAGGCCTTTTATTTTATTTCTATCCTTCCAAATTGTTGAAATTGTAGAGTGTGTCACGTCACATTCTTTTACTATGCTTGCATTAGTTTCTCCGTTTTCTAGTCTCCATATTTGCGATTTTTCTTCTTTATTCAACACTTTGCTCTTCGACATTGTGATAGAAAGTGGTAATTACTACATGTAATATATCTATATGCTTAGATAAGTCGTAATTTGTCCCAAATATACTAACCAATGTCAAAAGTGAGGATGCATTGGTTTTAAGGCCGTATATTACCATTAGTCGTTATAACCGGTAGATTCTATGGTAAATGCATATAAAAATGCATTGCTAAATCCGAAATGTCATTGTAAACAGTGTCGTAGTAAACGAAATTTTTAATATGGTATTTCTATAGGATTTAATCGGGTCTTCCAAATTTCATCGTTATATCCAATATGTCAGATTTGTTCATTCAAATAGATCACCTTCATATCCTATATAGTTTCATTAAAATTTCTTAAATTGCCCCTGAATGAAAAATAAATGTTAAGTCATCAATTAATATGTATTATTTTACTTATATTTGTTTCAATCTTATTCATCTAACAACATACACTGTATCTCAAAATGGAACAAAATTAATATTTTTTCCAGTTGAAATTTAAAAAAATAAAATCGCTGAAACAGGTCAATTAGTAAACAGAAATTGTCACTTTTCTACAATATTTTCTATTTTTTTGAGCCCTATTTGACAGACCTATAATATTACCGACATTTTTTTAGGACGTTCTATAATTTATAGTATACATAGATAACTAGCCCTTCTAAAGACGAATTCAGCAATATAAGGTTATACCTGATTTTTTGTCATAGTGGTAAAAAAATGGAGGAACAATAATTTAGTACTACTTTTTATTTTATTACAGGAAATGTTCAAAGTGGCCCCCATTGCACAATGCCCAATTCGGTGATCAGTTACATTTTGAATAACATTTGGTGTTATGTTTCGAACTTCTTCTCTAATACGATTTTTCAATCCTTCGATAGTGTCTGGTTTGTTCACATACACTTTGCTTTTTAGATAACCCCCACAAAACTAGTGGAGTTAAGTCAGGGGAGCGTTATGGCCCTCTTCTGCCTATCCATCGATTTGGAAAACTTCATTAAGGTAATTTCTTACATCGAGACGAAAATGTGGAGGGGCACCATCTTGTTGGAACCAGACATCACCAGCAGGCATATCGTGCTCATTGACTTATTATGAAAAATTAATTCCAGGGCTGGAATGAGGTGAAAATGCAAAAAATCTAAATAAATGTCGCCTATTAAATTGCTCTCAAAGAAAAAAGGTCGCAGTATGCGATTTCCTACTATTCCAGCCCAAACATTCACTTTTTCCGGACGTTGTGTATGTTTTTCTTGCATCCAATGCGGATTTTCTGGGCTCCAAACCCTAGTATTTTGCCTGTTCGCGGTTCTTTTTAAGCAAGAAGTTACTTCGTCAGTGAAAATTATGTGATTTTTTAAGTTGGGTTGGGTCGTCTTTCAAATAAATTTCTAATTTCCTCGCAAAACTGTAATCTTCTGTCTGTCATCTGCCCATAGTTCTTCGTTAATTTTGTAAGGATGCTACTTTTGAGACTTCAGAGTTCTGTGAACTGAGGACTTCGACAAGTTGAAGTTGGCTGAGATAGATCTAATGGATGAGTGAGGATTTTCAGTTACGGCGAGCATCACATTTTGACGGTCATTTTCGCTTACTGTTCATCGCCTTCCTGATCCAGGTAAATCTTTTATACTACCGGTTTCTTCAAACTTTTTGATACTTATTGTAGTTCGACTAATTCTCTGGCCTGGATACTTCTGGTGAAATAAGTCTTTTACCACCCGTTGACCATTTTCCCAAATATGATTACAAATTTTTGATTTTTTAAATTCTCGTTTTTTAATATAATTTTTATATTCATCTATTTTAATATTTACAAGTTGAGAGGTCTGTCCAACATAATGTTTATTGCATTTATAAAATATACTATAAAATGTAATTTTTTAAATTTTGAATATCATTATTCAGATACGTCTTTGACAATCAAGTCCTTAAGTATTCGTTGTCTGAAAAACTGTTCTAATGTTAAATTAGTTGACTATTTCCCTTAACAAAGTTTTACATTAAAAAACGAAGATTTAGGAATTCAAATATTTCCGATCATGCTTGGGAAAATTCAATGAGGTTCAGTTAAAATTTTGGAAAAGGGAAAATTTCCGTTATTTAAAAAGGAAATAGAAAATCGCAATGATGCATCTCTTAATATTAATATTAGGAGCTCAAATTTTAACTGTATCATTTTTTCGAAATCGTGAACAATATTTTCGATGTCACTTTAAAAAAAAAACAGGATTGTTTTTTCGACATCGTAAACAATATGTTGGAGACACTGAGTGGACATGGGGATTAGTTTGATCCATTGTCTCCATCGAAATAATAAACGGGTGATGTGACTTTATTTATTACAAGTTCGAACACTAAAGAATGGGAGCAGTTGTACAAGTTATAAAATAGGAACTAACGGTTCGCCACTGTCAGCCCTAGCACCTTGTTCACTACTTTTCTATCAAAATAATAATAATAATAATAAAAGCCACACGGCTATGGTTGTTTCATCAATTGAATGATGCAGTTGCTTCCTGGGCATTCAGATTTGTTTCGTTCACAGGGGCATTTCCCAGTGTATTCCTCTACCCTATCAGTTTACTTTTTATTAAATATGACCATATAAGGAAGTGTTTACAAAAGTTAGATATTGATGTTTTTTCTCACACAGGCTAAAACTTAGCCCTGAAGAGATAACAATTTGGTACTCTAAACATTTCTGTAACATACACAAAAATAAACCCTTCAACATTCCATCGACGGTGACAGTTCCTCGAGTGGCTACGAATTCATAAGCGGTCACAAGGGTGATGCCGACAAATATTTTCGATGTCATTTTTGAAAAAAAAAATAGTCGATTTATTTGATAGCTACCTCTATATAATATATGTAATCATTTGAAATTTTAAAATTTTACGGATATAAAGTATTACATTTAAACAATATAAGTTTTGGTTATAAGTGATCAACAGGAAGTTGTAGAAAAATATTGCAGTTGCCATTGAATCCCACAAAAAAAATCATAAATCTCAGTACAAAATTATAATATTTTCAAAAGATGTTTATCTCCAAACATAATGACAATATAAAAAACTCAGTGTATCTCTTAAAAGAATTAAGATGGGTTAAATTTTTTTCAAAAATCGTGTCAATGACATCTTGCCTACTTTTTATCTTTCTCCTGGGAAAATACCAGAAACCCTCCCACGTACACTTTTAAATCGGGATAGCCAGAATTTTTACATGAGACATGTACCTCCAACTTAGATATATTAATTCTGTAAAGTGTTTAATTATTTGAAATGACTTAGTAGTCCCAAGATTTTAAGATAATAACATTTTTTGGGTAAACTAATTGATATAATTTTTTTTTAGGTTTGACGGACCAAGCTTCATCGGCGGAATTGTTTTAGCTTTAGGGCTTGTCGCAATTGGATTTGTTGCTTTCAAATTTTACAAGGCGCGCACTGAACTGAATTACCACACACTCTAAATCATCTAAGATATTTATTTGCTAATTATTTAAATTTTGTATTTAAACCGCATACGAGTATATTTGCTGAGAATAGGTTTCCAATATTTATTTTGCATTTATCAATAATAAATACTAATTCCTTCTAATTATTTGAATTTACAAAAAGAATCAGTTTATCACTGTTTCCATTAGAGATATCTTACTCTTAATAATGATGTATTTTTATAAATATCTCCAAAGATTAAGTATATTGTAGCGTAGCTGTTAAAGAAAAATGCCGTTATAGTTTAAGTTTGAAAACTTAAGTTATAGTTATATTAATAAGAAAGAAAAAGACATTAGCTTTCTTTATTCCTTGTCTTTACCTTTGGAAAAATTTGACTGAAATCAATTTTGAGTACAAATTATGGCCACTAGTAGCGTTACTTATTTATTAAATATTTTGAAATAAAATAACCTATTCTCAGTACTATACTGCATTTCTTTGTTACATTTTTTGTTTTACCTATCTTGAATGTGTCGATCTGATATTTTTGTGATATATTTTTTTTATTTGATCCATTTTTTGTACTGATACGATGTTTTCTTACGGGTGTGTAATATTACATGTCGCATTAGTACGATTAATGTGGTTCTTTTAGTCACGAATTAAAAATTGCCTTTTAATTTTGTGATATAAAAGGTTCTCTTTCATTTATGTGAAAATCGATATATATATTTGATATTAATTTTAACAGATCAATGTCTCTTATGTAAATAATTTACTGAAATATGAATTATTGTAAGTGATTGTAACTCAAATATTTTATTCTGTCCGTTAAAAGTGCTCTTAATAGAGTAGTAATTTACTCAAAGATGAATTTATAAGGGTGCGCTAGTTTGTAATATTTTTAAAGATCTATCACGTAATTCGGTGTTATGTATGATAAATTCTCAGCGATATTTTTTCTAAGTATCACTTCATTTTTACAACTTAATAGTAACTAGGTGTAGCGAGTCTCACGTTTGGTGCAATTAGTTTTTCAGTGTCCTACAGTTTTGTTATTGTCTGATTAAAGATATTACTTAAATTTCAGCAGTTTCATTGCGTACTAAAAAAAAAAAGATTTATTCGGAGTCTTACCTGGAATAATCGGGGAGCTTCATTGACCTAAAATGTTAGGGAAATATCAAGGAATTTCTCAAATTTTTATGGAAATTTTTCAAATTCCAATTAAAGTAGGTTTTTATTTACGAGGTGTGGCCACTACTACTAATCTGTCTGTACCTCTTGTGTCGTATGTTTATTGGTTGTCATTAAAAATTTGCTATTGGTATTAATACGAGGATTGATTCAAAATAGTCCAATCAATCTGTCACGGCCTAATGTTAAATTTACAAAAAATACCACCTAGAAACAAAAAATATGGTGATATAGGAAAAGAATTCTAAGAAAGATAGTGTTTTTTTCTGTGGCGCATAAAAGACGAAGTTAATCTAAAAAATTCATAAAAGTCAATAAACGGTTTTTTGCTAATAAAAAAAAACTTGATCTGCAATCGAAAAAAGTTGTAGCTATTAAAAAAACCTATCGATTCGTATTTTTAAATATATCAATTGATATATTACTTTTCAAGATATATCGAAAAAACTATCAAAAATCGACTTTTCTTGTTTTTGCTGTATTGCAAATTAAGGTTTTGAAACTTGTTACTTGCTGTAAATGTAGCAAAAAAGTGCCTTTTTTAAATTAAAAGATATTAAAAAATTTTTGAGTTGTATCGATTTTTCGAAAAAAACAAAGGTCATCTCGAATATCGGCTCTTCTTGCTCGACGAATAGTCGTAGAGAAATGAATCAGGGCTCATTTTTTTCCTTAAGAGTTGTACTCTCATGGTAAAAAAGAGTAATAGAGAATTTATTCATTTCAAGTGTCCAAAAATGACTTTGAAAAAAGTAAAAATTTTTTGGTCGCGTTTTTCTTGAATATCTTTTTCAATTTTCATTTCTCGATTATGTCTATTACAGTAATCAAGTGCTGACATTTTTACGCGAATTTAAAAAAAACGTTGCTCTGCAATCATCTTGAGCTGATATATATTTTTTTTCAAGAAATTACACAGGCCGCTATTTAAGTGCTACACCGTCCATTCTTACAGAAATTGAAGTTGAAGACATACATTTTCAATAAAAAGATACTGTGGTTCATTTTAGCCACTTCTGCATTTTTAATTGTGTGTCAAACCGAAGCATTCGAGCGCGGCATAGGCTAACTGTAGCAGGAGTCCAGGCAAGTTAGACCAAAATCACCCAGAATACGGCAATTTTTTTCTGATGAACCGATCGAGTTGCGGTTTTCGGCATTGTCTTCGGAAAAATATCAGGAAAAAAGTCTATATATTACACTTTGGGGCTGGATCGAAACTGCATTGCGGGTGCATAAAGTGCATCTTGGAGTGCATCAATTTTTCCAAATTTTCTAAAAATGGTAAAAATTGACTAATAGTTGTAGAAATGTGTGTGCACGGGTTTTTTGACCCTGAAAAATATACCCAACGGCCCTGGGGCCCCCCAGGGGGGCAAGCTGGGGTCTTCTGTAAAACATCGAATAGCTGAGTAATTGCCTTCTAAATCCCCACCCGGGAGTGTTTGCGGTCGGGGATTTCGATTCTGACACTGAAACATATGTCCGACCCTCCAGGGCCCCCCTAGGGGGCAAGGGGGGGCCTTCTGTAAAACACCAAATAGCTGAATAATTGCCTTCTAAATTTCTACTCGGGGGTTTTCGGGGTCGGGGATTCCCAATCTGACACTGGAAAATATCCATTAATATTAGCTTGTCTAACACTGAGAAAAATTGTCGTAGAATTGGAGAAATCCTGGACAATCCATTCCCAAGAGACACATTTCGTTAAATCAAAGAAATATTCCTTAAAACCGAAGAATATTTCATGGATCATGGATTTTCAAAAGAATCTCTTGGGCCCGTGCGACTGCGGATAATGCATAACAATTCCCGACAAAATCCGATTATCGACAATGCAGATCTTGTGGGTGCAGGAAGCATGGAATTACATGCACAATTGCATGTACAAATTGTTTTGGAACCAACTGTTCCAATCCTGAAATAGTCGAAAATGTAATAGATGATAGTGATGGAGACAGTGATGACAGTACTGATGATGAAAATTGTGATTGATAGTGAAAGTGTTAGATAAACATATGATAGTAGTTGTCTCACTAATTGCCTTGCAAATAAAAAGAAAATTGGTTCTCAGAATAAAGTGGATTCTTTTCGACTCATTAATTTCCTGTTAGTTTTTCTTACCCTTCTTGTCTAATCTCTGTAAATTTGCGTGTGTTACAATGTAAAGATAAGCCTACAAGATCATGGTTGGTAAGCGGATGGAGCAGTTTTATTGCAAAAATCTGCCTTTCGATGTTTTCCAGAAAGCCCACCCCACGGGCGTCGTGCATACTTTTTAGTGTCAGAATCGGAATTCCCGACCCCAAAAACCCCGAGTGGAAATTTAGAAGGCAATTACTCAGCTATTCGATGTTTTACAGAAGCCCCCCCCCTTGCCCCCACTGGGGGCTCCAGGGGCGTCGGGCATACTTATCAGTGTCAGAATTGAAATCCCCGACCCCAAAAACCCCCGAGTGGAAATTTAGAAGGCAATTACTCAGCTATTCGATGTTTTACAGACCCCCCCCCTTGCCCCCACTGGGGGCTCCAGGGGCGTCGGGCATACTTATCAGTGTCAGAATTGAAATCCCCGACCCCAAAAACCCCCGAGTGGAAATTTAGAAGGCAATTACTCAGCTATTCGATGTTTTACAGAAGCCCCCCCCCTTGCCCCCACTGGGGGCTCCAGGGGCGTCGGGCATACTTATCAGTGTCAGAATTGAAATCCCCGACCCCAAAAACCCCCGAGTGGAAATTTAGAAGGCAATTACTCAGCTATTCGGTGTTTTACAGAAGGCCCCCCTTGCCCCCTGGGGGGCCCCAGGGGCGTTGGACATACGTTTCACTGTCAGAATCGAAATCCCTGACCCCAAAAACCCCCGAGTGGGGATTTAGAAGGCAATTACTCAGCTATTCGATGTTTTACAGAAGGCTCCCCCTTGCCCCACTGGAGAGCCCCAGGGCCTTCGGGCATATTTTTCAGGGTCAGATTCGGAATCTCCGACCCCGAAAACCTAATTTCTACAACTTTTAGTCAATTTTTACCATTTTTAGAAAATTCGGAAAAATTGATGCACTCCAAGATGCACTTTATGCACCCGCAATGCAGTTTCGATCCAGCCCCAAAGTGTAATATATAGACTTTTTTCCTGATATTTTTCCGAAGACAATGTCGAAAACCGCAACTCGATCGGTTCATCAGAAAAAAATTGCTGATTTGTTGTCCAACTTGCCTGGTCTAGGTGGCGGAGTAGGGGTAACACTACTCGGCTGTTCCGAAAACTGAATTCGCGCTTAAATCCTTTTGCTGTACTTAAGCTGGGGTAGCTCGACAAGATAAACCAAAATATTACCATTTTTCATGCCGCATCTATTCACAAATTTTTTGGATAAGTTATGAATCATCCTGTATTACTTCTGAATCTGATTATTGTTATATGTTCCCAATTGGACTGCATAATATCAACACAATATTTATTACGAGAAGTATATAACATACATTTTTCTATATTAAAGTTTGCAGGATATCTTCATGTAAAATGAAAACTGATAAAACACCTGAGTTCAATATAAAATATGTTAATATTACTGGTCATAGAAAAATATAAAAGACAGCCATACATATTAATATTAAATATATTTTTCCACATTATTTTATTAACTAATAAGAAGTACTACTAACTTGTAACAAAATGTGAGGACCAAATAGTTTATTTGGTTTAGTTACTGTTGGCCATCAAGGAAAAAGGTTCTTTGCGTTTGAATCAAAGAAAAGTTTGGTAAGATATTAAATATGAATAAAATTAATAATCACATGTAATATTTACAGTTAAATAACAGTTTTTAGGGTAGAACAAACAAAAGATAATTAATAAACTGAAAAATATGGCGTAGAATATATAATTAATTTAAGGCAAAGGAAATTGATAAAAGAAGAAATTTGATGGAAAATTAAAAAAGTCTTCATTTTGACTTAGACTTGGTATAAGGATTATATTCATATAATGTGGATGTATGTTATGCTATACATATATCTCTAAAACTCCCACTGAAGTGTATTTGGAGTTCAAACGGATGGTTATACAGAATATCTAGAGCAACCAGTCTTAGGAATTTGGGAGTACGCCTTTCGGAAAAAAAATGTTTTGGTTATGAAAATTTTTCATTGACGGTAACTGAAACTAATTGTAAACATCTCGAAAAAACTTAAAACTCTAAGCAGTATAACGTATAATGTTGAGGAAAGTATAGTTGAAACTAAATATTTAAATGGGCATGGTTAAAGATTCAGCTAGGTTTATGAGTGAAAAATTGTGGTTGATATAGTGACAAAATAATATTTTAGATACCTTAAATCAAATTAAAGTGCAACAAATCACCTTTGGCAAGAGGCATACCACTCCGAACAAATCAAACAAACTTGAATAAGAACACCAAGCTTATTCGCTAATGTACTTATTTATTCAATTAGATAAAACCATCCTATTTACATCAATGACCTCTAATTTATGTTTGAGATATTGCCTTGTCGTTATATATCATCCATGGTAGATATTTTGCTTATAAGTCTGATCGCATGATTTTTGTATGTCACGAGTGAAATAGTTTTTACATGAAACGTAGAAATCTGTTATCCCAATCGCTGCAACATAGTCTCAATTAACTATTGTTTTTTAGATTATTAACAAATGTACAGATCTAATTTTATATGGTTAATAATTTAACTAGAATTTTACATTTTCTTACTAAGTGATGTTGCTAAGAAATTGAAAATAGCAGAACTGTCCCTAGTGTGTTTCAAACTGCACTCAACTTTCGAAACTGATCTATAAAGGTACTTACAGAGCTCTTACACGTGGAAAGTCTAGCAAAAAATAGTTGCTGTTGCTGGAGGATATCTAGCCG